ACACGTTTTTATCGGCTCAGCCTGTTTTTGGATTTGCTTAAATTAGTCAACGAAATAAATCAGAAAATGGCGCGGGCCGGGAAAAAAACGAACTTAAAACTCCTAAGGCTTTTGTACATCAAAACGTTTACCCTTACTTATTTGTGCCTTGCATCCTTGCCAATATTTTTCATTTTTGACTCGAGTGTCTTTCAAACAGTTGTAACTACTATTGCCTTTAGTATTCTTAACGTAACAACCTATTTTTATTTCACATCTTTTTGGCAAATTGTTAGAGGGTATGACTTTGTTAATCAAGAAATTAAGGACCTAATAGCCCAAAAATCTAAAATCAATACAAAAAAGTATTGGAGGCAACTGGAAGGTCTTTGGTCCCTTCATTCCAGTCTCAGCCAAATGGCCAAGAAAGTGAATAAGGTTTACGGAATTCAGATGCTAGCCACGCGCTTTAATTTTGTCATATACAATATCATTTTTGGCTTCATTGGTAGTATTCATTTGAACCAAGGAATAACTCTTCTTAATGTGCACGTGACTCTATTGTACTTCGTTCGAAATGTGGACTTCTTTCTAAACGATCTAATATGTGATATGACTACCCGGTATCAGTGTTATCCAAAACATGAAACAAGCGAAGGAAAAATTACCAAAGAGGTTGTTGAGTGTTTTAATAGTACAAATATGTTATAATATATTGGCTATAATTGCAGATGAGTGCCTATCTTATCTACGAGAGCAGCACAAGACTGGATTTGAAAGTAGTTGGATTGTATCCAGCCAACAAAAACCTTTTTGTTGTGATGCAGCAATTTATATTTTGCAATTCAATATTACTGCTTCAATTCTATCTCATGCTAAGAAAATAATATATTTTTGGGTTAGTATATAGTATATATTTATTCTAGACCTAGTTTATTAAATGCAACATTTGTCCAAGTAGGATTTAAGCACTACCAACCTTCAGAAAACTACTTTAATAAAATGTTTACCTGTTTATACATTTATTTAACACCGGTACAAAGAGCTGGCCTATTATAGTAGTCATACTTATTGAAGATTTGAGTTAGCCATTGGGAACAACACTTTGTCTAATTGACTTTGATCCTATCGAAAAGTAAAACTTCTGACTTTAGTTGCAGTTGCAGTTCGAAACTCTTGGGCGGCGGTTCTTTCGGATAACGAAAATGAAGTTGATACTTAAGGTGTATAACGTATACGCCATGGTTATGGGCATGACCTCATACGCTGTAGTTGATGGAAAATTCAAGCGGACAAGATTTAGCCAGGCATATGCTGTGGTTATGAACGCCATCACGTTGATTCTGCTGCCAATTGGTTTCTGGAAATCGGCTCACGTTATGGCAATGGGCTGCTTTCACATACTTGTACTTTGTTTCTTTTTGGAAAATTGCCAGAGGCTATGCTTTTGTTAATCAACGATTGAAAGAGAACATATCAACTCAGAGGGCGGACTCAAAAGCCCGGACAGAACAACTTCACAGCCTGTAAAACAATGTATTCAAGTTTAAATTATATTTATTCGTTGCATTTCAATTTTGTTTTTTATGGCGGGTCTACTTTTCAATTCACTCTTCTTCTTTTTTATTAGTGTCACCGGAGCTTTACATTACAAATAATCGATAATTCATACATAATGCCCAAACGATAAATAGGCACTATGGTCTCTATGCTTGATTTCTGGGCATCGAGCATTGATTCGACTTTATTAGCATTTTCTTAAACTTCAACTGATAGTCCCCATTCCCTTTTTTATCATGTGGTGACTTGCAACGAAAGCCATGAAAGGACCTCGAAATGCTTTACAAAAAAAAATAGATGTTTCGACATTTGAAGGGGTCCACGAGGTATTTTTTTATTGAAAGCAAAAATCATTATTGGTTTTAATAAGCAATCGTTCGTAAGTGCTCTGTCACTGTGGGGTTTTAATTTTGATAAAGCCAGATAGGATAATTGCTTCCGAAGCACAATTAAGGTGGTAAAATTCCACTTTTAGTTTTAGTTGGGACCTCTCTGAATTCAGTCCTATTTTCGCAGAAGAATGGAGAAAGTGGTGGAAATCTTTTATGGATACGCTTTACTCCTTGGCATGACGTCATACATAGTGGTCAATGGTAGATTCCTGCAGACAAGAATAATGCAGGCGTATGCCTTAACGTTCAATATCTTAACTATTGTAATAGTACCACCAGTTTTCTGGAGTGCAGCTCAAGAATTAAAAAAAGACTCCTGGTTTCCGGAATCGATGTTCATAACGCCGTTTATTCTTCTTTCGGTTAACTATGCAGATATCGTTTATATAGTTCTTTCACGTTTCTATCGGTCCAGCATGTTTATGGATTTGCTGAAATTAACCAACGAGATTAATCGAAAAATGGTGCGTGCTGGAAAGAAAACAAACTTTAAGCTTCAAAAGCTTTTTTATATAAAATGTTTCATTCATGGATATTTTATCCTAACATCTGTGCTAACCGTGTTGTTTATAGAATTAAATAGTTTCAAAGTAATTATATTTAGTATAAGCTACAGCATTTTGGATGCACCAGCAACATTTTACTTCATATCATTTTGGCAAATCGCCAAGGGCTATGATCTTTTTAATCAAGAAATGGAGAAGCTAGTCGCCTTTAAAATGGAAACTGGCAATAGAAAATATTTAAAGAAACTACGAAGTCTGTGGACTCTTCATTCGGATCTCAGCCTTATGGCACACAAAATAAATAGGGTCTACGGAAATCAGATGTTAGCCTCACGAATCGATTTCATAATACACAACATAATTTATGGCTACTTAGGTGTATTTTACTTGCATCAAGGAATACATTTTGTTAATATACATGTGATTGTCGTATATTGTCTTCGAAATATCGACTTCTTTCTGAATGATTTAATATGTGACATGACCACCCGATATCAGTGTTATCCAAAACACGAAATAAGCGAAGGAAAAATTACGCAAGAGGTGATTGAGTGCCTTGAGTATACAAACATGTCCCTTTATAAAGAGTTATATTACAGATGAATGCCTTTCTGATCTACGAGAGCAGCGCGAGACTTGATTTAAAAGTTTTGGGACTCTATCCGGCCAATAAAAATCAATGGCTCCAAATGATGCAATTCGTAGTATCCAACTCTATATTGCTGCTACAATTCTATCTCATGCTGAGTAAATAATGGCACTCACATATTTACAAAATATATCTCTTAATTAATTAAATATTTGTAGTACTTTTTTGTTATTTTGTATTCAAGAATATTAATACAAAAATGTATATGTATTTATGAAATATTTAAAAGAACAGGCTTCTGTTATTATTCATCATAATATTTTCCTATGTACTTTAAATAAATACATTTTTAGAAACTCGTTAAAATATTCTTTTGATTGATAATAGAATTTCAAAAAATAGTGTTCGTTTTAATGACCAATGGGCGTTTCCATTTGATGTTTTCCGATAGGGTAATTATTTTCGACTCCCTATAAGGGAGGGAAACTTCAGCGAATAGTTTTATTTAATACCTCTAGCACTTCGGTGCGTGGCAGTTGGACCATGGAGAAATTAGAGGAGATCTACCATGGATTCGCTTTTCTCATCGGCGTGACATCCTACACAGTTGTTAATGGCAAATTCGTGCAAACCAGAATGATGCAGGCGTATGCATTAACGTTTAATATATTGATTTGTGTGATCGCACCACCGTGTTATGTTGCATCAGCCAAGGAAATGAGTGCAGGACCATGGCTGCCGAAGTTCATGCGTTTATCGCCATATATTCTTTACTCTGTTAACTATGCGGTTATCGTGTATATAATTCTCACACGTTTTAATCGGTTCAGCATGTTTTTGGATTTGCTGAAATTAACCAAGGAAATAAATCGGAAAATGGCGCGGGCTGGAAAAAAAACAAACTTAAAGCTCCTAAGGCTTTTGTACATCAAATCGTTTACCCTTACTTATTTGTGCCTTGCATTCTTGCCAAAAATTTTCCTTTTAGACTCTGGTGTCTTTCAAACAGTTATAATTACTATTGCCTATTGCATCTTGAATGCAACAACACATTTTTATTTCACATCTTTTTGGCAAATTGTTAGAGGGTATGACTTTGTTAATCAAGAAATTAAGGACCTAGTCGGCCTAAAATCGAAAACCAATACAAAAAAACATTGGAGGCAACTGGAAGGTCTTTGGTCCCTTCATTCCAGTCTCAGCCAAATGGCCAAGAAAGTGACTAAGGTTTACGGAATTCAGATGCTAGCCTCGCGTTGCGATTTTGTTCTATACAACATTATTTTTGGCTTTATTTGTATTGTTCATTTGCATCGTGGAATGACTCTTGCTAATGTGCATGTGGCTTCATTCTACTTCGTTCGAAATGTGGACTTCTTTTTAATCGATCTAATATGTGACCTGACCACCCGGTATCAGTGTTATCCAAAACATGAAACAAGCGAAGGAAAAATTACCAAAGAGGTTGTTGAGTGTTTTATAGTACAAATATGTTATAATATAATGGCTATAATTGCAGATGAGTGCCTATCTTATCTACGAGAGTAGCACAAGACTGGATTTGAAAGTAGTTGGATTGTATCCAGCCAACAAAAACCTTTTTGTTGTGATGCAGCAATTTATATTTTCCAATGCAATATTACTGCTTCAATTCTATCTAATGTTTAGAAAATAACATATATCTTTTATACAAGACCTAGTTTGTAATGTCCAACAATTGTTTAAGCAAGATTTAAGAACTACCAAATTTCAGAAAATATAATAATATCTCAATCTGTTTATACACTACCTTTACATCGGGCGATAAAGAGCTGGCCTATTATAATTGTCATACTAATTAAAGATAATTTGCATTAGCCACCGGAAACAACACTTAGTCTAATTACCTTTGATCCTATCGTTAAGTAAAACTTCTGACTTTAGTTGCAGTTGCAGTTCGAAACTCTTGGGCAGCGGTTCTTTCGGATAACGAAAATGAAGTTGATACCTATAGTGTATAACGTATACGCCATGGTTATGGGCATGACCTCATACGCTGTAATTGGTGGAAAATTCAAGCAAACAAGATTTAGCCAGGCATATGCTGTGGTTATGAACGCCATCACGTTGATCTTGCTGCCAATTGGTCTCTGGAAATCGGCTCGCGAAATGGAATCGGCGCCGTGGTTGCCTTCCTACATGTGGATGTTACCCTACGTTCTGTATTCTTGTAATTACGCTGCCGTTGCCTATACATTGATCATGAGATGTTTTAGGGATGCCATGTTGATAGACTTACAGCTCGTGGTGGAACAAATAAACCGGGAAATTTCGCGTTCAGGAAATCATATCAATTCCAAGTTATGTCAATTTTTTTATTTGAAAAGCTTTACGGTTGGTTATGTATGTGCATCGTATATAGTGTCAGTATTCATTTTTGCACAGAAACTATCTTTGCATCATCAAATTGCTGGATTTTTAGTTAACACTTTCCTAAACATTTTGGTTGCTTCCACATACTTGTATTTTGTTTCGTTTTGGCAAATTGCGCGAGGCTATGATTTTGTGAATCAACAACTGGAAGAGATCTTTACAACTCAAAGAACGAATTCAAAAGCCCGGGCAAAACAACTTCAAAGCCTGTGGGCTCTGCATGCTAGCCTTAAAAGGACTGCCCAAATGATAAATAGGCACTATGGTCTACAAATGCTTGCGGCCCGTTTTGATTTTTGCATGTTCTCTATACTCAATGGTTACATGGGCTCTATCTACGCACATTCTAACCAAGCGAGCGCGATGGAAAAGCTTTTTGGAGCTGTGCTTCATTGTACACGAGCAGCAGACTTCTTTCTTAACGACTATATATGCGATATTGTCACCGAGTATCAAAACAAACCAAAGTATTTCGTCACCGAAGGAAACACGTGCAAGGAGGTAGATTTTAATCTGCATACCACAATCCCTTGTTAACATCTTTTTATATTTTCAGCTTACTGTTTACCTGATCTACGAAAGCAGTAGTACATCTACTTTTATGGTTTGCGGACTATATCCGGCAAACAGAAATAAATGGCTTAAAATGATGGCATCTATTGTTGTGCACATCATGTTGCTGTTGCAGTTTGATATGGTTATGAGCCAAAAATAGGTAGAAATGTTAAACTTTAGGTTAATAAGTACATTTAATTTTATTTGAAATAATTCTTGATCATATAATTAATGACACTTATGTACCGATACCTTTTTAACTTGAAATAACAAAATATATGCAACAACCTTTTGAAATTTAATTTCAAATTGAATTTTCAATTAATAAAGTAATGTCAATTGACATGAACCCCATATTAATTTAGTTAATGCTTATTCTGATAATTATATAAGTATTATTTCGAAACTTATCTGACAATTGATCGATTTCAGGACTCCAGCTCATTAGTAAGGCCTATTACTTCAGTTGGGTTTGCAAACTGGTTGACAACGGACGTGGTCATGTCTAGGCTGTTGGTAAACATATATTTTGGCTATTCGCTGGTAATTGGAATTACTTCGCAACGAATGGTCGACAGGAAGTTCAAGAGTACATTTTTTACCAGGCTTTATGCTCTATTTTCTAATATCACTACGCTTGTGTTTCTGCCAATAGTTATGTGGTATACGAGTTTGAGTTTTGAGGCGAAGCATAAGGTTCCGCAGCTGATTTACATTACGTTTAATGTAAAAAGTGTCGTATCTTATGTTTTAATATTATATACGATCCTTTCAAGAGGATTTCGTGATACGGCAATTAGAGAAATTCAACCTTTGATCGAAAAGTTATTTGTGGAAGAAAAGCACTGTGTATGGGCTGGAGGCAAAAAACCTTGTATAAGACAATCGCTCAGGATTATTCTGTATGTGAAATATTTAGCCTTGGCCTATTTGTGCTTCACCGAAGCCATATTACTTTTTTACTCGAACAAGGAAATAACTTGGCTTACCATAGCCAATTTTGTTTTTCTGAGTAATGCATACAATATTCAGGAAATGGTGCCAATGGGATTTTTCCTTGCTTTGTGGCACATTGCTCGAGGATTCGATTATGTGAATAGGCGTTTGGATGAAATTATAACATCAAAAGATTCTAGAAACTTAAAGGAGGTGCGAAGACTTTGGTTACTTCATGCTGAACTCACTAAATCGGCACTAAGGGTGAATAAGATCTATGGCCCACAAATGTTGGCCAACCGCTTTAATAACTTTGTATTTGGCGTAATTCAAGCGTATTGGGGTGCCTTCTTTACATTTGAAAAATCAACCTCGTTTTATTGGGTTGTTTACGGAAGTGTTGGATATCTAATTCGATCACTGGACTTTTATCTTGTCGACTACATGTGCGATTTGGTCGTGCGCTACCAAGGATCGGCTAAACACGCCTGGAGTGAAAGTCGCTGGACGAAAGAGGTATTAGAAATAAATTTAAATTTATATAGATATATATGCTTATAAAACGACCTACCATATAGATAAGTTCATATGTGACCTACGCCAGCAGTTCGAAGTTGGAACTCTGGACTTGTGGACTTTTCCCAGTAAATAGAAGTCTATGGTTTGACATGATTACCAGTATACTATACTATATATTAATGCTCCTGCAATTTCATATAGTTATCGGCAAATAATAAAATAGATTTTGTTTATATTGTGAGTGCTTTACTTTAGTTTTAAGGCAAACATTTGAACTATGAAATTTTAATTGGTTATATTTGCTGTTAAATACGAATACACTTTAATTGATAATAGATATGTGACTTAACATTGTAAACATAATCTTTGCATAATCTGCCAATCGTTTGCCCCTAAACTATTTGCTAATCATTTTCTACCAAGAAATAATTGCAACGATTTGAATGCTCACGTTTGAAATGCTTACGGGCAGCAATGTGAGCGATAAATAGATATATACATAAAAGAGCTCTGTTCCGCAGGAGCCAATAATTTCCTATTCGATAATTTTCAAATGAATGCGTTCAGCAAATAAATTCATCTTTGACAGCGTTCGCAGTTGAAATTTAAAACGAAATCACGTTTTGCTGTTGCATACTTTTTGGCGTATGCACATCTGCTCTACGTTGTACGTGATGAAAGTTGTGTCATAAACACACGCACACTTTTACACACACGGGTCCTGGCCCAACTTAGTTGGGAATTGCTGAAAATGGCAGCAGGTGAAATGGGAGAGAGCCGAGAATTTAGGAAGGCATAAATAAAATTTAACAAAATAAATCAAAGCATAATTTTCGCAATAAATTCGTTTTTACCAAACGCTGAATGCAAATCTAATTCCTTTCGTCGGCGAAACGTGTATCAAAGTTTTCCACTATTCTTTTTTGCGGTTTTGTAAATTTATAAGCGTTTTTTTGTTTTGCAATCGGCTTATAAGCCAACCGACTTTTTGTATAAAAAAATAATCGGACTTTAAATTAATTTAGCAACAGTTTAAAATATATTTTGCAAAAAAAGCATATACAATAGAAAAATAGAATACTATCATCATGAATAATAGTGGGACTATCCCATTGAGTAAAAAAATAAATTGAAACGTAAAAAAAAATTATTTTCTCTTGACATTTTGTTCACAGAGATTTCTATAAATCAATTTAGTTTTTTGTTATTGTATCTTAGCTTTAAGCGCAGCCGTTCTTTGTAAAATAAATATAGAAATGAAAGTATATCTGAAGAACTGGTTCCATAAAGTCTCACCTTTTATTTGAAACTGGAATGACGGCATTTAATAATAAACTACTTTAAAATGAGATGACTTCAAGCGACTATCGGCACTGTAAATATATATTAACACGATTTGGATTCGCATCGAGGCACGTCAACACAATTATGTTGGATAACAAGAGCCAAGATTTATTGTGCCCGAATCGAGATGCAAACATATAGAAGCACGTAACGGATGCGCAGGCTGTACGCCCATTGCTGTTGGGTAGGTGGGCGTGTCCCGTCGCATGACAATTGTCAAAATCGTCGCCATAACTCACGTGTTGCCATCAACAGAGACAAACGCCTGTGGATCCGAGGGGGAATTCATGAAGGGAAATGGGGAGGGGAATCAGAAGGGGGAGCTGCGGCAACGGGGGGCATCGACAATTTCAATTGAAGCTGATTTGCTCAAAATGCAAATTACGCAATGATTTACATTTCGATTGACGTATTTTAGGCGAACAGTTTGCACTTCATTCCCGCCCTTTACCCCTTCCAAAAGTCCTTGGATCCGCCCTTTACGTGTTGCCAAAAAGAATCCTTGATTTGCCATTGCCATTGCCAGACCGATGTAAATTGGCTGGGATTAGACAGTTTTTTGCTTTTCTTCGAAACATTATTTCAGTCGCTTTAGGTAAAAAAAGAAAGATATCATCAAATGTAAAAAAGTATTAAAATATACATTACAAATTTGTACAAAAAAATATTGAATATATCCATTGAATTATTATATTTTATTTTTTCTTAAAACTTTTACTTCATATAGTTTAATTTCCATGTACGAAATGGAATTTTAAATGCGAAACCCTAAAGGGCTATCGTAAAAATAGTAGTTATAGGAACCAACCAACTGTGCCATTACTCACACAACCGACGTCCACATATCCTGGCCAGGTCTTCCGGTCATCATTACTCTGGCTTTCCCATTGCATAGTAATCTCCCTTTGGCCGCAGCAACGAGCATCATAAAATTGCTGAGAGGACATAAACGCGTTATTATATTATGCCTTTGAATGCCCATGACTTGCAGAGCTCCCTAGAATGGAGTTTATGGAGGAGGCAGGATGCACAGGCCATTGTGCAGTGGCCAAACGACACACAGGACAACCAGGACAACCATGACACCCAGGACAACCAGAATATACCCAGGACAACCAGAACACCAGGGAGACACGGGGAGACGACACACTGGCCACAATGGACGAACATCAATGCCAGAGCCGCGAGTTTGAATGGCCAGTGGCAGGAGGAAGAAACTGGAGCACAGCCACATCGCGTCCATCAATGCATCTTCCAGCCAACGTCAACAGGGAAAGAAGCTATTCAGCTTAACTTGCATTCTCTGGCCGCCCAGCCGCAGGACATAAATTTAAAAAATAACAATATAAGGAGATGTCCTGCAGATGTGTGTGTGCGACGAAAAGTCAGAGCTGAGTTAAGGACAGCTCAAGATGCCAGGCAAAAGTTTTTAATGATGCCGCAAAGTCGTTGAACCAAGTTCGATGCACATTCTGTGGATTTGACCTGACTTTGGCATCCTTGGAGGAAAGGACGAGGGCTTGTGCATTGATTTACTTGTGGCCGAGGGAAATGTAAGCCACAGCTGTGCCGAATCGAAATTTCTGGCCAAGTGAAAGTTGCCTTTGGGGCTGCAAAGTTTTTGCCATTTCCACCGAAATTTTTGGAATTTCCGTTGCATCTGTAAAGTGTCTTGTATACTTTGACCTCGTTGGAGAAGAAATTTTAATGAATTTAAGAAAGAAGTTTAATTTAATTGGAGGTCACTAAATACTTACAGTTCTAGTTGTGAATCCATAATGGAATTCGATCCATACCTGAAGCAATAAAAGCACCACAACTTTTGGAGTCACAAGAGTATTGAATTTCATTTATTATAATTAAATAGGTACAGTAGTAATTATTCTAGAAGGCTCTTTATCCGTAGAAGCCACCACCGAAGCCGCCAGCGGAAGCCGAAGAGGACGCCGAAGCACTGGCTCCGCCGAAGCCGCGGTTGAATCCACCGTAGCCGGGATATCCTCCGTATCCGCCGTAGCTGGGAAATCCGCCGTATCCTCCATAGCCGGGATATCCGCCATATCCGCCATATCCACCGAGTCCAAACTGAGGAGCGGGCACGGCCTCCAGGACACCGAAGAGTGCGAAAATCACAACGACGAACACGACGGCAGCTCGCATTTTGGATTACTTGTTCACTTTAGATCTTTACGTTTACGACTGTTGATCGATTTCGCTACGGCCGCCTATTATATAAACAGATTGCCCGCTTGGTTCAACAACCTGCTCGTCTGGTTCTGGAGGCGTCAGGTGCGCTGGTGCGCCAGTTCCATTCTCCCCGAATCAATTGATCCCATCGAAAATGACACAATTCACGAAGCGAAAACAAAATATCGCTGACCATCCCCCTCGGGGAGACCAGTTTTGGAGTTTGGGGTTAACCTTTCCGCAAACTCACGCGTTTATTGTGGGATTTTGGGAATCACTCGGACCAAGTGTCTCTGCCGCTTGCGTATTAGCATAAAATAAAATGCAAACAAAACGTTGTATAATTATAGGTATCAAATTTCGCCGGACTTTGTTATTCGGCCATCACATTCGCTTAGTCACACACATTTTGTATTTCATTTAGTATACATTATGCTAATCAAGCCCGTCATTAATGGGTTTTCTATTCGATTTGCTGGTTGGGCCGTGTTGGACATCAATATCCCCTCAAATAAAATGTTTTTCACTTTATGCCTATTGTTTAAATTATTTATAATGTGTGTTATGATTTGGCCGTAGGGAATATTTTAACGATGAGTTTGTTTTGACTTTTAGATAATTGCGTACTGGAAATATTTTGTATATTTTTGGAGTGTCCACTTAAAACATCTTTGATTGACAATTTATAGTTGCAATTTAAATAATAAATACAAATGAATTTTTCTTTTGTTTTGGGTAATTATACATATTTTAAGGAGGAGATAGGTCATCGACCTGACCTTGGTTTATAACAAAAGTTTGTCATAAAATGTTGTAAACAAACAATTGTTAAACTTCAAGCCGGTTTCTAAAGATCAACTCTGTACCGTCTTCTATGATGTCTAACTAGCAGATCAGATTGCATTGAATTAGAAATTCACAAATAGACAAAAACAAGACACCTTAAACCAGATTGAAAACTTTTTCAAAATTTCTGTGCTGAGCGGCCCGCAAGAAATGATAATTTATGATGAATTTAAAACACTTTGTAGTTCATTATTCGAAGATTCGATGAGGCTCGTCTGTTCGGGATTAGTTCCGGTACGCCTGAGCAAGAAGTATCAGAATCGGCTGTTTGAGGCCAACGATCCGTACAGCATTTTTCAATCGAATAACTCCAATGTGCTGATCTTTCGCTACCTCGAAATGTTCCAATGCCGTACCATCCACTTTGACGATATTCGCACCATCGACTGCCTTAATAAATACGGCGCAAGGAAGAGCTTGTACTTCAGCTACAGCCATCAGGTGTGCTATGATCATACAATGAGTTTGACCGCCGAACTCAAGAAACACTGCGGCGCCATGAACTACGATGGTGCAAACACCAGAACGGGTTACTATTTCACCAACCACGATCTGAATGCCACTACGTTAATAACAGATACTGCTAGTTTGCTGGAAAGTCCAACGCTCGTCTTCTGTTTGATAATATCATTCTTGTTAATTACTATCCTGCGATGGAAAGTTTTTCCAATGTAGGAAAAACGCCTCCGATTTTCAGAGTTGTGAGAGATACAGAAGGGAGCCAGTGTTCTTCAATCACTGGTAGCTGCAAATGAAAAACGAATAACAAACGAATGGAATAAGACAAATCCTTCAAGATTGGACTTACAAAAGGAATCGATTTAATGGTATCGTAATTCATGGATCTTGAACAGAGATTTACTATATGAAACTATAATGAAACCATGCAAAAGTGTGTTGATCACAGCGGTCCGTGGTTCTATGTCAGGGAGTTAGTCAGTTTGTACGAAATTTTCTGGTGAGTCCCTAAAATGTTCGGAGATATAAAATCAATTTCGTTTGTGAATATTTACTTCCATTGTTTTTACAACTCTGTAGCATTGGTGACAGCCTCAATAAAAATTTGTTTCTCGTTTTAATGTTTAATATTTGTGTATTTTTTTACAATGATATTTTCATTTTTAAACTCCCAGGCTTATGTTCCTTCTCGATTTCATTGGCGCCCCTTATTTTATGATCCATATGATGTATCCATCATAGTGTGACATATTTTGACAGACCTCAAACCCAAAGACGCTGACAGTACACAAATCTTTTGGCTGTGTCGGCATGGAACTTAAGAAGCTGTCACCGGGATCTCCCTGTTTTTTCTTCCAAGATCGCATCGCATTCCCTTTCATCTGACAAAGTTGCCCTTGTCATCTTCTATGTGCCACAGAAAGAGCGTGGGGGAACTTCAATTCAGACCGTGTGTGTACGCATCTGCAGCCCTCGTGCATTAGGACTCTTATAAATAATTGCTTTTTAACAGGGGCAAAAATTATCACCTAATTATAAAGCCTGACATCGAGGATTCCGACTGTCTCTTTTTAACACATTTAGAGAAGGGAAGTTGGGCTGTGTTTATTAATTAACAATGGTAAATTTCGCATCTAAATTGGCACACATTAATTAAAGGTAGTTCATTATTGATGATATGGGTATATCAAAAGTGGAGCATTTATGTAGAAAGCTTTTAATGTGGATTAAAAAATAAAATGAAATGATTTTATAACAAAATAAGCGACCTTTAATTAGACTTTAAATTATTTATCTTACACCATCTTCGGTCAGTAAAACCTGTCCAATTCAATTGTCTTTTCGCCAGGTAAGTGCTTTAATATGCTTCCAATGGTGAAAAGCCCCATTGCATAACTCTCCATTTTGCTCGCATAAGGACCTCGTTTGCTCTGGCATTTCCGTTTGCCATTTGATTTGACAGGACTCCCCTCCAGTAAGTGTGTATGTGTGTGTGTGAGTCTTCTGTTGTTTGGCCCATAAATTTGTATTTCCCTTACGAGTAGCACTCCTGCAACATGTTCGCCTGTCAGCAAAATGTCGTCCTTCTCCCGGCAAACAATTTGCCGCATCGCAAAAAGGACAAAACGCATTTTTCCATCGCTCCCGTTGTGCTTTTCAAACATTATTGCAATTTCGTAAATATTGTAAAAATGTTTTACGCTCGGAGCGCCAACGCTTTATGCAAATTAGCTGCACAAACCGTTCCACATTCCGAATGTTAATTTGCATTTCACATTTCGTCCTGCTGGAGCTCAGTTGGCTCCCATCTTGTTTGGCTCTGTCATGTTTGGCCTGCGGATAAAGGGGAATTTTTATTTGCATTTAAATATATTACATACTTGTTAACCTCCTGCTACTAGAGTGGATCCGGATATATCCCCGGGATCTGGGATATGGGATATGGGATCAGGGCTCTGGCATCGGGGAATGTTCTTTTGCGGCTTTTTTCTCTTTTGACTTTTGGGGAATGCGTTTGAGTGCACTGCACATTCTATTGTACTTCGAACGGCAATCTGTAGTTTTAATTGCCCTGGAAAACCGAGATTTCCACAATCTTAATCTACTTTGATTGCGGCTTCGCTTTGCCAACGTTTGCGGCTAGGCAAAAGTTTTCCCTTACTGTTTGCTTTCCAATGTTTGTGCGCCTCCCCCGCTCGTTTGTTTATTTGTTTTGACTTTAATTAAGTTTTATTATACAAATTAACACATGCGAATGGAACAACACACACTCGCAGACGGAACCCTCGAGCTGCTATGCTTGTGTGTGTGTATGGGGATATGAATTTTTAATTAAATCATATTACTAAGTCAATAATTAAATAAGCCATGTCAAATTCATACGTCTGAGTGATAGAGGAAAACTTTATAACTTTGAGCATGATGAAATCAATCAAAAGTGTTATCTGTTGATGGTGGGTAAACCTCATCAGCTGAGTTAAAATTGTGCATAACTTAATTATAATCAATTTTTGGTGCTGTAAGTTCATTTACATTTAAACACTTGTAAAAGGTGTCCTTTTATTTTAATATTTTAATCACCCTAAAACACAATGCATGAGATAGCAATATGTTCACACTTACTTCTAATTACAATATTTACATGTGTTTGCACACTTTAATATTTACAATATTTTTTATTTGGGTTCTAACATACCTTATAGAAATTAGTATTGGTAATTTGTTATTAATATTTGTTAATTTGTTGTTAATATTTTAAGGGATTTATGTATGTATATATCTTGGCCTTAAATCATTGAAATCCCATAATAATCCATAAACGCCTCCATATTCCCCATTCAAACATAAACCCCCGATATTGTCTTAGAAAATGTTATTTATTGGGAGCTTCCTTCTGGGCGTCACATTCGGTTCGGCGTCGTATAAATATAAATATTAGTCAGGTAGGCGAATATATTAGTCTTAATACGTTTTTAAGCATTAATGCAATTTGGCTAATTGAAATACATATGCATGAAGTAACCTCATGGGAACCATTAAACCCTGGCTATCTGGTTGGTCGTCATCAGAGCGGCGGATACGCGTTCTTTGCGTAATTCACGCAGTAGTTTGTTGCCGCGCCAAAGAAGGAGCACACTCCGCTGTTGGTGGCAGGATTCGACCCAAAGCCGCCGTAGCAATTCGTGTAGTTCTGGTGGCACGAACGCAGCTCCAGCGGACCAAAGTTCAACGCGTACGCCCCGGGGGGCGGTGGCGGCGGTGGGTGTGGGTGTGGCAAACTGGCATATTTGTGCATATTATTGCTAATTGGAGCCGGCACCAACTGGGTAGCCGTATCCAGCAGCGGCCTGGAGCCCACGCTCCTCTCGTTTCGCCGGAATTTCGCCCGCCGATTCTGAAACCAGACCTGAAATCGGCGTCCAAGTAATTGATAAAGGAATTAGCTTTATTGGAATGGATTGGCAGTGCGTTTGCTGACGTAGCTGGGGATCCGATTGGGATAACTATGCAAATAGCGGCTAATTTTGGCTTATAAGCTTCAGATTACTTGGGATTCTGTTAGACATTTACCGCCCACGTTGATGGTTTCGGTATTATTCAAGCAGACGTTCTTGCTTAAGAAAACTCATGAAAATTTATTTATTATCACAAATATTGAACATTGAACATTTCTAGGTTGTGTAAATCGTAAATCAAATTGAAGCTCACATGTAATGTTTTTGTTTATATTACTTTCGTAAATACATAGTTTATTTTTGGCAGACACAAAATCATCATTAAATTGAAAAGCTTAACTCAAAACATAACAAAGCAAAGCTTTGTTTTATTCTTTTTATAACCCTAAAAATGAACTTATGTAAATGTAAATCATGGCAATTACGTAACACATTTAGTGAAGTTGTTGATATTGAACCTTAAATGCAAATTGGTACACTAGGTTTAATATAAATTCTAGTTTGTGTAACGAACAACAACAAGATAACAAACTCTTTACTGTTCGCCTTCACCAGCTTTTTTCATTAATAAATTCTGTCGAAATTCTTGTTAGTTGCATCGTTAAAGCCCCATAGGCAACCATAGTGGAAATACCAACTTAATTAAAAGCTCACCTGAACTCTGGCCTCGCTGAGATGCACCTTGGTGGCCAGCTCCTCGCGAACAAAGGCATCCGGGTAGTGGGTCCTCTCGAAAACCTTCTCCAAGGCTGTCAGTTGGGCGGAGCTGAAGGTGGTGCGATTGCGGCGCGGCTTCCTCGAGTGGCCCACGGGGAGATTTCCGGAGCAGGCAGCTCCACCACTTCCACCGCTCGAGGTGGTGCCTGCAATCAGAGAGCCATTAAATTGGGAATTTTCACTTTCACTTTCACTTTTGGGTTCTAGCCCGAAGGCAGTTGAATGCAAAATCTCTTTGACGGACAGTTGCTGGAAAATGTTGAGTGGAACTCGGTCGTAAATAATCGATAAGAGCCAACGGATATCAATTAATTTGGCAGCCAGCTAGGAAATTTTGTTACTTTTATGGCTTGTCGTTAACACATAAAATTTTGCATTCCGTTTGATCCTTCTTGAGGGGCTAAGAGGTGTGGGGAAGGGTCATAAACAAATGGCATGAACCATAAAATATCTTTTGACGACATCGGCGGACAGCTGTCTACTAATTTCGTCGCCCAACAAACATGAGCCAACATATTTACGATCTATTAATTAAAGTGAAATTGTGACATTAAGCGGCCATAAGCGAGCTCTCTGTTTCTGGCTGCCATTAATTGATTTTCCATAGAATTCGCTTTGGAAATCGTTTTACAAAAGATTAAAGATATTTTATTTAGAGTTTTCTATTTCGGAGGTAATTGGGAAAGTCGCCAGGGAAATACTACTTAACAAAGGAAGAAACTTAAGTATTTCTTCCGAGTAATCCTTAATTAAATATTCCATTTAAAGCATTTTATTTTTTTGGTTTCTTAATGGCATGTGCATGGCTATAATTAAGACTTTGCCGAGAAGTATTGATAAATTCTGTACTGATTTGCCCGGTTTGCAGCTCGTTGAAATTTCTTGGTTCAGCTTCAGGGTGGCCATTGCCGTGACTATCCCTATCAACATCAGATATTTTCCTACCCACGCCATTTGTCTCAATTTGTCAGCCAAGCTGTCCACGAAGTTGGGAACTGCATCGTAGATCAGCTCGGAGCACTCCATATACATACCGGAAAAAAAATGGGAAACCAGAGCAACTGCAGCGGAGAATGATGTCCCCGGGGATTGGGAAAGGGATTCTGGGGAGTGAGTGAAGGGAAGATCTTTAATTTGAATTGCCAACGAGCGATAAAAAACAGTTGCGGCTTAATAAAAAACCAACAAATCGAAAGGGAAACCTCAATCAGATTGGTTCATCGGCAACCGCAAGGGGTGAAGACTTGCCGAGGGGTTACACTGGAAAAAAGATTTGTATCCCTAAGAGAAAATGCTTTTTAATTTGAAAAACTAAGAATGAGAAACCTATTCTACATTTTTATGATACAAGCGTTTTTTTCATTAGATTAAGTTGAAAACTTTATGACTGATTTTAGGAGCAAATTGTGAGTGATATTTAGGTTCACTATTAAACATTTAAAATTTATAATTTATGTATTAGTTTATTTTCATATTTAAGCATTAAAAAATGAATAAATATTTACTTGATTGTTTCTCATGATGATCTTAAATAGTTTTTGTTTCTTTTCAAGGTGTCATATTTTTTCCAGTGCTGGGATGCAACTGGCACATGTTACAATCCAATGGAGCGACGAAAATAAACGAGGGAGGGGTAAGGGGACAGGAGGGGATAGGGACTAGAGTGCGTGCTGCGTCTGGGACTGGTTACAGTGGGACTGGCGTTTTATATGCTCCACTTGGAAATTATAGTCGTGGTAGCTACTCGCTACCTCGGATGCTTCAAAGGCATGCGGCCACTGAGGGAATATCATGTCAGCTTTGATTACGTTTTGTCATGTTGACAATGTTGAAGTGTTGTCGGCTCGGAAATGTTTCCTCTGCCACAAGATACAAAAAAAAAAAAGAAAATAAGAAAAAGGAAAACTAGCAACTGGGAGCGAGAAAGGAAAAACTTTATGCGAACTGGTTACGAATTGTAAGAGTCTCTGTTTCTCTACGACATTTTCCGTAAGACTTTCCTTTTCGGCTAGGATTTCGCTGCAAATTATGCTGAAAGCTGACAACCAGTAGCAATATGTTGACAGTTTCCTTTCGGTGGGTTAATACGGCTATACGTGGCAGCAGGGGGGTTAAGCCGCAACCGCAACAGGAAAAATGCACGGAGATGACATTGCCCCGGCATTGGGTGAAATGAGCGAATGTCGCCCACATCTGGCACCTAATTGTCATCCATGAGTTTCCCTGCCAACCCTCTTATATTCATATATATAATCCCCTCGGCTATATAGCCTCTTATTTATGCATGTGTAAAGATATAGTCATGATTATGCAGTTGTGCGAATAATGTCATAAATTCTCTTGGCCTGCATCGCAGATGAATTTATTATTTATGAATTAGACGCTCTGGCTAAGACCCTCAAAGTCCTAGTTTGGAATGCACATACATAAATGTGCGACCCTATGTACCTGAAGTCCTTCGGCATTACGCATTCCGTTGCACATAGTTGCACATCTGGTAATTATGACAATTAAGAGGCTTTTAAAGATAAATGAACTTAAGTGTCAACCTGATTAAAGCAATTTTAAATGTGAAGCTTCGGGAGTTTTTAAGCATTCAACAGAAATCGAAATTAAAATGAGATTTTATTATCTCCATTAACTTAATGCGAATTGTTAACTTTGATTGAAGCATTTCTTTCGTTGCTTGTAGTAAAGTTTTTCAAATTCTTGCTTGCTTCTTTTGAAGAGGGATACATTTTATTTTAACGACTAGAACTTTAAAACACAAACTAGCATCCGTGTATAAATACCTTTTTATTCTCTATAATTAAAGAATATTAATTCTGATTTTAAATTGTTTTTTGTACACTAAAATGATTTTATTTTTCATTGGTTCTACCTTAAGATTTATATTTATTTTATTTCTTTAAAAGCACTTTAACTCACCGTAATTGTTATTAAGCTCCATGGAAAGTTTGCTCTTTGAATAAGCGTCGTGCTTCATTTCCATGATGTTATCCACCGAAAATCGGTGCATTTTGTCCAGATCTCTGGCACTGCCCTCTCGATCGTTAACCTTGTCCTCCGACTCAAGATTTTGCGACTGATGTGATGGATAAACCTCGCCGGAAACTGTCAGCGAATGCGAACCCGTCGGTCCGTAGTAGAAATTTCCCGGATTGCCGACGGGCAGCGAGTGCAATTGCTGTTGGTAATTCAACATGTCGAAACTATCAATTGCGAATTTAGAATTTAAGGATGAACTTTTGGCTTTGGCCTTTTATCAATTTGCTCAAACACTTTCGACTTATTTGGGAACACGATCGAGGGACAATGAGCACGATTTTAGATTTCAAACTTAATTCTTCATTGCTCGATTGATTGAATTAATTTGTGTTCTGTTAGCCTGCCACTATTGGGGGCATCCTGTGCGAACTTGGTAATTGGATTAGCACACAACACATAAACGAGTTAATTACGATAATTGTCGCGACGATACTAAACCGTGCCAAAGTCGTGTGCCCACTGAAATTAGCCTCAAAATCGAAAAAGAGTGCGCCCTGCCTCGCTCGTCGAGAGATTCCCATCCCCGGAATCCGAATCCGAAACATATGTATTTGTTTCGCTGTGATTCTAGCGATGCGCCTAATTATAGCCAGCCGATCTTTCATTGGTGGATGGTCTTCTGGTTCTGTTCTCATCCATTGCGTGGCCGACATCTTGGGGGCGTTGCTTCTCAAGTGGCTGGAAAACTGCTTGAAATACGAGGTGAAAAGTAGCAACAAGTTTTGGGCATTTAAGTAGCAATAAATACCAATTAGCCGGAGGGTTGGCTTGCCGGGGTTCACATTGTCCTGCCTGTCAACACAGGCCATGTGTCTTTGTTGCCGTCGTCCTGATTCGGTGCTCCCGTTTTCGCAGGATGTGCTCAGTGCATCTGAAGTTGTTTCGGGCAACATCGGGGCATAAATCTTGGCACGCACAGTGTTTGTCATCCTTGTGAGCTAATTTCCATAACCACAACATGTTGTTCACTTTACCCGGCAAAGTGGAGCGATGGAAATCGGAAGGCTGGGCGGAACTGGTTAGTTAAGTGCATGTTTATGGATCCCTGCCGTTGTGCAGCTGTGTTTGACTTTACCTTGGAAGGTGTTTCCTCATTGTTTTACGTTGTCCTTAGACAATATGTTGTACATTTCCTTATATGGACGAAGTGCCGATAGGGATCGGGGTCAAATATATGTACGTATGAATAATTTGCTGTTTAAGTGAAAGTTTGAAGGGAGTTTTGTGCCCATAATTAAAACTATTTTACAGAGTGTTTTGGCTTCAATCAAAAGATGTTAGTTCTAATCTGAAAATCTTGTAATGGAAATAAAAAATGTTTTTCGTTCTAAGCGTACCGATATTCTTGTAAAATTTGAGTTGTTAAGTGTTAATATGTATTAATATATTCACTAGAATAACCCCTTTTTTTGCCTTAATTATTAAGAACTTTTGTAAATAAACACCATCCAGGCGACCGTCTTTTAATTTCAGATTTGTTGACCAACTTTCAGACCTAAGTCCTCCGCTTCTCTTAAACGCAAATATGAGAACCCACATCAAGGCTTTCCGTAGACTTTAACTATCCACAAGTTTTCCCCTGAGCGAGGACTTCCGCTCATTAGTTGTCCCCAGCAAAAGCTCGCTATTAATATTCTAATATTCACCCGTTGGCAAAGGAGCAGCTTGGCTGGGTTGGCTAACTGGGAATGCCGGCTAACATACATTTTCCCTTCCAAATTGAGCTGTCACAAAAGTTTATCCAAACTACTTGACACTTCGCTGCCGGTTTTTCGGCTACGCTTTTCCACCTGCAAGGGAGCAGCCTCGTCCGGCTCGCTTCTAGTAAATTATCTCACGTTTTCGTGTGCGAAAAGTTCTTGAGGAATGTTGCGGTGTGTATTTTTAATAAAACTTCAAAGTTTCCTACTTGCCACGCTTTACTATGTCTTGCAAACGTTTTTCTTCTTCTCTAGCTCAATTTTCCTTCGTTTTCGGGTTGGTTCTGTTCTGTTCTGCTCTGTTCTATCTTATTTTATTTTATTTTATTTTATTTTTTTTTAACTCTTGGAATTCTTTGTCACGAAACATTTCTCGCGTGCTGCTGCCGGTGATGTTGCTAGTGTTTTGTGGGTGTTATCCATGTAATATGGTTACCCAGACAAACTTTAGCCGGGAAATTCTTCTGGCAAGTCAGAATTCGAGGAGACAGTTTTAATGCTGTCAGATAGCAGCGAAGTAAGTAAACTTGTCAGGCTCCTCGGCGGGGTTTGGTTGGTTGTCGGGGAAAATATCGAATATTATGAGGTATTCCAACGGGATAAATATGCGCAGGTAATGTCGATTACGATGTGAAAAGTATGCATTGAATACATAATGGCTTGGGGCAGGTTTGCTCCAGCTGAAAATGGCTGTTTACAGAATAAAGAATGTTGTCTCGGAAGGTTTCCTTTCAATATTTGGAACTGAAAGCCACCATGGAATTTCGTTTTATTTATATTTACTCAGCCAGCTTTCAAATTGTTCAAAATTGTTTGCGATACTTGAAATGGATATGAACATTGTGGATAGATCTTAAATAAATTTATAACTTAAATTTTAGAAAATGATGCACAAAATGTTATATGTTATATATATTTATATTGTATTGCTTTCATTTAAATATTTTTAATTTAATAATGTTATATTTTTTAAACCAATAAGCCAACTTAACAATTATATGGCTGTCTTCGTTCACTCACTTTGGTAAAATTTAAGTCAATTAAAAGTCCTAAAAATTCAATGATCTATCCGTTTACTTTACGCTTCGATCCTTCTATCCCTTTTGATTTACAGAAGTAATCATAGGCAATCTAACTTGGTAAACAACATTTACCGGAAATCATCATTCAAAAACACCGAAACATAAGATGCGCATTGCATCAATCCGTGACAGTCGGTAAACCAGCTTGGCAGTTTTTCTAGTTTGCCGCACACATTTAACAATTTCAATTTCCTTTGAGCAACTCAAAAGCGGGGATTTGGCCAAGTTCCTTTGAAGTTCATGTTGTTTGTCAAGAAAATGAATTTCACTTGACGGCGATTATGTGGCAAGTATTTAAACGGTTTTCGTTCAATTCTGCTTTGGCTGCCGTCGCTTCGTTCGCGAAAAGTTTTGTAAAACATTTCCGATGTTTCAGAATATTACCGAACCCAGGCGGAACCGCAACACTAGCAGCTCCATCGGTGGAACCCATCACGCGCCCCTCGTCTGCCTCAAAGCCCAAAATGCCAAACACGAATGGCACACGCTCCCTGACAGCGGAAAATTCGCTGCGAGGGGAGGGTGCAAAAGTTTTGCCTAAATCACTTAACAGAAAACAAGTGTTGGCATATGCCCTCCGCCCCGCCGGACTTCCTGCCCCTTTTGGAGCGGTCTCCCCGAATCGGTCCCTTTTCCTCCGCCGAGCAGGAATATCGCAAAAGTTGCAATAGAAACTTTGGGCATACCCATTAGAAAGCCGGAAGATGGGATATACACAGTTGTTCTAAACTAAAGTCAAGTTCCATGTAAAATGTTCTTGAAATCCCAGAGCATTTTTTTTTACCAATACGTTAATTTTACATAAAATAACTAAAATGTTATTCCACGGGAGTTGTCTATATACATTTATAAGTTATAATGTTTGTTTGCATAAGTTAGGTTAAACCTGTAATATTTATAGAGTGCCCAATCATTTTAGTCATATTTGTTAAATTCTTCTTTAATGTAAATTGTTTTTTCTGCAACACAAATTACTTTAAAACTTAAAAACATATTTAAAACATTAATATAAAAAACTTTTCGATACAGCAATTTTAAAAAGAATATTGGATTGCATGTTACTAGTTCCTAAACTATTTTATCAACATATTTAATAGGTATTAAATATTGTAACCTTGTCTAAAATCTGTGTTTCTGACTTGTTGTAATGGGTTATTCACGATGTGTAGGAATCAGGCAGCACAAAAAAGTTGACGGCAAATGAAATATAATAACAAGAAGTAACCGGAAGCATCAGGCTCGGCAACTTGGCTGCCCGACCGACCACGCCCACTTCCATCTGTTCCCGATTTTTGGGGGCTGTGCGTAAACAGAAAATCAATTACATGCTGCATATATAGGGAGAAAGGTTGACAGGCGCCCTCTGGCGGCTTGCAGCTGTCAATCGGGAAGTTCGAAAAAACAAATTGAGGGTATAATAAAATGGCTTCGACTGTTTATTACCGCGCGGATTATAAAAAATTAACATTAAATAGAATCCACAAATGGATATCAAAATTTCATTTTAAAATCTTTTTTAAATTAAAATAAAAAAGTACCTTCTAAGGTAAGTAAAACAAATGAATTATTATTTCATTTTGTAAAGTATAGTTTTTATTTTATCAACATTTTAATTAAATAGGTACACGCGTTGCGTGTTTATTAGAAATTCCTGTTTTTCAGGTAACAAACCTCTTAGAAAGCTGGTCACAAAGTATCGCAAACTGTTAAAGGGGTATGGAATAGGGAAGCACGGGGATTTACATTAATTACGGCACGCAAAAGCTTCTTGACTTTTATTGTGACATAGGCCTGGCAACTTACCCAACCCACTTTTGCAGCCCCTTTCGTTTTCACATATAAAACGCATGAATATTTTATACCTCCCAGTAACCAGGACCAAGTGGGCGGCATCAGTTTTAAAAGCCATGTTAAGAGACTTTATGCGTTTGCTCCTTTCTTTTTCGAGCTCCTTTCTGCTCAGATGTCCATTTAGACACAAACACACACAAACACTCACACACACAAACAGCGAGTTGGGTCAGTCGTTGGACTTTTCGGCTGGGCAACATCAATTTTTCAAAGCTTTGACCATGGCAAAAATGTTGAGGCATTTTCGATTTTTCCTCCTTGTTTGCCTCCTAAATGGTTTGCATAATTTATGCATTTTTTATGCCAAACATTTGAGCTTTCCTCAGCCGCACCGAAGTCCGACCAAGTCTCGAGTCCAAACTAGTCCATTTAATATTTATCCGACTGAGATTGAAACAGAGATTACAGTCTTAAGTGTGGACTGTCAATTGTTTTTTACTCTACAAATTCCGGTCATTTCACTATCCACACTTTAATGAATTTTAATTAGTGTTTTCGCAAACCCAAAATGCATGTTGGTCGATTTTATAACCTCCGGGTTTCGGGCCGTATTTATTCACGGGAATTGGAATTTTTGATGTCATGTCGTCACCCAAGAGCATCAGCAGCAGAACAGCATCAACAAATCCAACCGCAGAACACGACAAATACCACAAAATGTGGTTTGGCCAAACCTGAATGGGTCATCACACATCCAGCTCCTCCATGTGTAGTTTCCAGTGACCGCCGAGTTTATGAAAATTTCGGTTTTATTTGAAAAGAGAAAAAGATAACCATTTTAAATACAAAACATAAGGAATAAATTATAGTGATATACTGCTTTTTAGTAAATTCTTAAATAATATATAATGTTTGATTAATAAATGAAAACCAAAATGTTAAAATCACTCATCCATAACACATCCTATGAAAAAGTTACCTTATTACAAACTTTGATTTAAAACTTATGTCCTATTTTAACAATCGCCCTGAGCAATTGTTTGCGAAAAAAGCCATTTTGTTGATTGAACATTTTCAATCGAAATTTTTTGCTGCATTTGTTGCCTTGTCTACATCTTTTTTTGTTCGTGTTACTGTATTGCTGTATAGTTGTCATTCAGTGAGCTGCAAAGTCAGCAGCATTTAAATTTCGCTCACGATTGTCTCCGGATGAGCAGTGCAGCGAGTGAGCAGGGGACCAGCGAAGCAAACTGGCAAGGAAGGAATAACGCGGATTGAAAATCAACGGATACGGAACGGATGTACGGGTACTCAGGACCCTTCCCATAACTCCTTCGATGTCGTCTCCTTCTCGTTTTTGTGTGCCGCCTTATCTGGCAGTTGGTAGGGAAAAACTGTCACTGCAATCAGATGCAATTAGAGCTTCCGATGCCTTATCCCGGAAAATGGGGAAAATGGGCGGAGAGGCCTTTGCACGACAAATGGAATGGAAATGGAAAACAGAAAGAGGGAAAGTGATTGGGCCAATGCGCATCTTCATTGAGAATCGCAAACTCGTTAGCTGAGAGCATTCTTTCCTTCTTGGCAATGACTTTAATAACTAGTACTAGTGAAAGTGGAGATAGTGATCAAATTAATTACAATTTAATTAAGCTTATGGGTTGGACTAGTTCCTTTTTTTAAACTTTTATTAATGGTGAATTTCTTTCGGATTCATTGAGTTTTTCTTTTTGTTTGTTGACAAAAAAATCAATAACCATTTAATTGATTTTATTTCATTATTGAGTAAGATTTTTTATGCCATACAATTACCAACATTTTTTCTCTTTTTTGTTTAAAACTTACCTTATTTGTGTTGGACTGTCAATCCCATCGAACTGCACTTGAGATCTGCATTATTTTTCTGTCGCATTTCCAGCACAAAGGCAGACATCATTATCTTAAAAATTCCGCCGCCGCCTGATAATGAACCCATATATATGCGGCATTCCAACCGAACGACAGTTGGTCCAGGGTAAAAATTAATGAGTGGGTGCGAGCAATTGTTGCACGCTCCGGTCTTGACTGCTTTAAGTTTCGCCAGTGCGCCAGGGAGATAAATCAAGCGGAAAGTTTTTCTGCGGCAATCCCGGGGTATATTTCATGCCAAGATTCAGTGGCCAAAATCCACACGGCGACGGATTAGGCCAGGTCGGGATGAAATACTGTCCTGGGGCGTGAGCAGATTTCGCCACGAGCTTTATGTGCTATGGCCATATATGTATCTACATAAAAAGGTGTTGCTCCTACTGTCTCTTTCTTTTTATGTCCCTCTCTAAATACACACACACATGCAGAAGGCGCCAGGTGTGTGTGTACATTAAAGGCCATAAAAAATTCATAAAATGCATTTCTCGCACGCCAAAAACCAAACACAGAATGCGAGAGCACCCAACATACAAAGTACACTTACCAAACATAAATTTTAAAGTACTTAGGGATCAGATAGAATACTAACCTTAAAATAGCACTTAATGCCGAATTATGGTATAACCGCAAAAATAATTAAAACGCTTTAGAAAACTTAATGGATTCGGTGCCTTCATTTAGGTTTTTATTAGCCTCATCTAGGCAGATTTAATAGATTTAGTAGGATCGTTTCTTTGCAGAACCTCCTTCGCGTAATCCATTGCGGAAACGACGGCGCAGCTTCTTCAAAAACCGCATCCTTCCTGTTCCTTGGGTCTTGCGACCCTTGGCCTTTCGGGACCACTTATAGGATCGAGTTTTGGCCGAGGGATATCCGCATTGGGAGCACTTCGATTTCTGCAGATGAAACGAGGAATCTCCGCAGCGGCGACAAATTGTATGGGTTTTATTGTGGCGTTCGCCAAAACTTGTAGTTCCCTTGGTCATCTTTGCTTTGAAGATTTCTCAAAAAAAATTAGATTAACCTCTTAATTCCTAGGGACGTCTGCTCTGCAAAAGAATGACAAGCGGAAAGTCAGATTTTGGAGATGACAGTTGCAGTTTACACGTTTTCAGATAACTCTTGAAAATACTTAAATGGTATCGATGAGTGTTGGAAAGTTACGATATTAATTACTGGCTCTGTTGTAGTAAACATACGTCCGGTCAATGCAAGCTTTAAGCAAACAAATGTTAATAATTATTGTTTTAATAATATTTAAACGCAATTTTATAGTATTATTTATGCATGGAGCTGCATTTATGTTATGAATTAATATTTCTTTGTTTATATTTATAAGTAAAATTAAATTTTTTAACGACAAATAAGGTTATGTATGTAGAAAACTAAAGCTTATCATGTTTGATTTACAGATTGCGTTTACCAATGTTAACTCGATTTTTAGCAACTATCACGTGCGCGACATTTGCCATTTGCTGCGAAATTGCGCGCAAATTATATCAATCAACCGACGTAATCATTGAAAACTTATCAATTTTCCTTTTCCCGAGCCAGACAATTTCGTTGAGACGGATTCGCAATCGCAGAGACCTTGTAAAAATGAACGAAAATCAAATATTTATGATATGTTTGAGCAACATTTTGCTGCCGCTGCTGCCTGCGGCAAAAATAAACTACAAATTTTTCTTATTCGGCTGCATTTTCGTTTGCCTTGGCATTTGGATTTATGTGCGTGGCGTTTGAAAATTCAATTTAATTTTCATTTTTTCGTGCCATTGCGGCTGCTGCTAAGGGATATCCCATGAATTTTTGAGGCTCTCTGCCGAAGGTTTCGTTTTCTTGCTCCTTTGCATATCGACTAAGTTATGATTCTGTGGGAATTGTGTTAGCTGTGGCCGGATTCAGATTTTAGCAGTTAACTTGAAAAGAGCAGAGCTTAGATTGCAGCAAAGTCTTTATTTTTTTTTGCTTGACGATTAAACCAAATATTTGACAGTATGGTTCTCTACTACACTGTCTTTTTTAAAGTAAAAGAACAAACTAATAACCAAAGTGGGTCATAAAAAGATGATGATTCTGAGTTTTTGTTGTTGTTTTTTATTGTTAAATATTATGTTGTTGTTTGATTGGTTGTCTTGACTCCTGCTTAAGTAACAAGGACCTATTTAAAATCAAAGCACCAAGTCAATAAGTATGCCTAATAACATGCAAATACTTCTGCTTTCAGATGCATAATTCTACTCATAGTTGGGAGCAAAGTTAATCTCTACTCTTACATTTGATAACCTTCTGAAGCACTTCTGTTCATATAAAATGTCAGTGTGATTCCTTGACAATCGATAAACCCTGTTGATGTTAAAAAATGTTGCATTGTTAGCCCAGCCAACCGGAGTCATTCTCCCGATCCGAGTGCCGGATTCTGTGTCCCAGGATAACGACAAGGAGGAGCCGCAGTTCAGTGGCAATGCATTATGCTAAAACGTCTCCAGTTCCATCCGTTCAATTGTCTGTCTGCCAGTCTGTACATTCATTTTTTGTTGTAGTATTTCTACCACTCCCATTCCGATTCCGATTCCCATTCCCAATCCCATTCCTATTGCGATTCTCCGGATGCTGGCAGTGCAATGTCGTGGCCTGTTGTTGGCTGTCGATGCGGGATTAAATTGCGAGTTATGCTAAGCGAACTGATGGCGAGGGGCAAATTGAATGGAAGCTCGTTTATATTGCTCGAGTTGCGGCAAAGTATTGATGCTGGGATGCTGTCGCTGGATTTGTCACTGTCGCCCGTTGTCGCCGGCAGTTTCTCGCCGGCAAGACAGGACCAAGTTTATAAATGCCTGGCAATTGGCAGTACAAAGGAATCCCGGTCAGGCAATTTCCATTACCAACTAGCGCATTCCTCTGGCCGAGGAGCATGAAACGGCCATTATCGCTTTTCTAGGGCCCAATTACACATGCCTTTGGCACTTAGTAGTTTATTGACGGCTATCATGGATGTCTACTTGGCTCATCATCCTCCTTGATTTATGAAGTTAAAGTGGTAGACAAAATTAAGTGGTCTAGTACTAATTTTGTGGATTTTAAAAATCTTATATGGGTTGCTATTAGATTTGTAAAACCATACAATTGTATTCTTACAAGTAATATTATATTTTTAATGCGAAAAGAAGTTAAACATAGTCACTTGTAGTTTCCTTTAATTAGTTTCATAATGTTGTTTAATTATGTTGCAGTTCCCATTGAACTAGAAGAATAGAGTGAACTATAACTGAGTTCATCATGGACAATAGTTGACTCCGATCCACTTTGAAGAGTCCCAGGACATAAAACTCGTGAGGATCTCGAACCAACTGCAACTGAAAACTCTCAAACTGAAAAGTACAAAATATTAGTAAAATTAAAAAAGCGAATAAAATCATTTAAACTGACTGTCATTTCCAATCGCTTATCCAGTTCAGGGCTTAATAAAGTTCGATCTGCCAATATTCTCATTACTTTATTTTGCTGATCGCGTATTTTTATACCAATACTAATGGACATCCAGTTATCCGCATAAAAGAAAGCCGTAGATAAAGCAATCAACGAAAGGCCCAAATATGTGGAACCAAATCCAGTTTTATTATAAATTATTGAACAGAAGGTGAAGTAGATAGATCCCATGGTGGAAAGATAATACACCAAGCTCATGCTGAAGCTTTGTATTTGACAGACATCCGACATTTCGCTAAGTGTATGCTGCAATTTGTTTTGTCTTTCAGCCAAATCATCTAATTTATCTGCCAAGGCACAGCATTTTAAGGCAAAAACTCCTCCTCGATGATTGCATGTTAAGCAGATAGTTTCAGCTTCACTCATTAATTTACGCAAATCTTGCTGAATAACATTATATAGTCCGAAAATTTGCGAAACGGCCAAGTAATACTGGAATACAATCGAGTTGAAAATAGTGGTGAATGCGCTCCAAATAAGGAGATTAATGACCATGTTGAAATTAATTTTTTCCCGCTGAGCACTTAGATCCAAAATCATATGAAGGCAGTCGGACATAAAGCAGATGAAAAATTTCAGGTAAATTCGGTGGCGATCTTGAAGAAATACTCTGTGTTTTTCGCGGACCATTTGAGCTAATTGATTCCCCAATCTAAGGATCCTGGTCCGCTGAATCCATCTGGAGATTAGGGAAAGCAATACGGCAAAATATCGAACCACGGTAATTAGCAGAAAAAAGTACTCATGCAGATATCGTGCGTTACTAAAATCCGATTTTAAGGAGTTATGGTTGACGCTTAGAAAACAAAGCAAAGTTATTAAACACAAATTGTGTAAAGCCGCATATATAGTGACTCGTCGAGTGGCTATAGCTTTTCCCTTGCGCCAATCTACCTCGAAGTTAACCACTCCCACCGATAAACCATACCAGTACGCCACGCGCACAATTGTCCGTAACAAGTCAACCATTTTTCAGAACTGATATATAAATTCCGAAGAGCACGAACTTTTTCAATAATTACATGGACTGCAGGAAAAACTTAATGACAGAATATTTATTGTTAGGTATTTATCAGTAGTTATCTAAACTAATTGGGTTAGTGAAAGGGACAGTATATTAGCTAATTGAAGTATTACCATAAATATACCCGTCAACCCCAAAGATAATTGTGTTTGAAAATGGCATCCTATGGAAAGAGCATTTTAAAATGGCATTAAATAGTATTGAAAACAATAGCATTCTAATTGTTAACACATATATATTTATTTAATTTCGGAAAAGTTTAATACAATTTAACTATGACTTAGCTCCCATTGCATAAGTAGCACGGAATGGATAAGTACTGAGTTTACCATGGCTATTATTGAACATCGTTTCAACTTAAAAAGGCCAAACACCTGGCATTCAACTGGATTGCAGATAGTCTGCAGCTGAAAATTCTCAAGCTGTAAAAAATGTTCATTAATTTAATAAAATATTCAAATCAAATGAAAGTAAACCCACCACAGTTTCCAATCGTACATCCAATTCCTGAACAAATATTGTGCGTTCTGCTAATATCTCCTTTATTTCTTTAGCTTTATCCTGGATCATAAATGCCAAATTCAAAGAGAACAAAGTATCGGTAAAAAATAAAACTGCGGAAATGCACGTCAAGAAGATGCTGATGAATGTGGAAGTGAATTCGTTGGTGTACAAAATTGAATAAAATGTATAATATACGGCGCTCAATAAAGAGACACTATAAAACGTGCACATGCAAAGAATCTGTATTTGAAAAATCTCTGTTATTTCTTTAACTGTTTCTTGCAGCTTGGTTAGTCTTTTTGCTAAAGAATCCAATTGATCGGCCAAATTGCAACATTTTGTGGCAAAAACACCTCCGCAACGATTACGAGTTAGGCACAAAGTTTCAGCTTCACCAATCAATTTTCGCAGGTCCCAATGAAATATTTCATAAAGTCCAAAGACTTGCAGATTGGCTAAATAATATTGAGCTACGGCTACGTAAAACGCAGAGTTAAGTGAGTGCCGCACAGTTAACCCTAGAGCTTGGGTAAAATTGAAATTTTTGCGGTGAGCTAATATGTCCATAATGGTGTGCATAAAGTTAGTTAGAACTGAGAGCCAAAATTTTATGATTATCCTTCGACGACATAATTGAAATACTTTACGTCTCTCGGAAGTCATCCGAATTAATTGGTTCCAGAGCTTAAGTATCCGGGATTGCTGATACCATCGACTGAACACAGTTACCATCATTACAGTGTATCTCACCAATGCGATTCCCAGAAGGAATTTCTCGTGCAGAAATCGAATATTGCTAAAGGGATTTATCAGGATGTTGCGGTTGTTACCAAGACCTGGTAAACATGAAACGGCGATTAGACTCAGATTGTGAATCCATGTATAAATCGTAGCTCGCCGGGTTTTAAAAGCTTTTCCCGTTTTCCAATCCACTTCGAAATTTAGCACTCCTACGGCAAGACCGCTCCAATACGAAAGCCGAAGAATCATCTGCACCTGGTCGACCATTCTGAACTACTGAACTCATAATCGATTTTAAACTTTGTTACTTTTCATTTACTTACATTACGTTTTATCTAACATATACTGTTATTCCGTTGGGAAAAGTGAAAACGCAAAGATGCATCGCGTTAAAATGGGGAATTAGATAGAACATTTTTTTTATTATATTCTGTTATTTTTTCAAGCGTTTAAAAAGCTACACTGCTCCCGTAGTATGTCGTTTTGCTATTACTACCACGAGAGCAACACATTTGTTTCTGGTAAAAAGTGTGCCAATTTATTGGGACCTCTTCAATATTAATAGTTTTGTTATTTTAAAAAATCTTGCCTTCGAATAATTTTATTTAATTTCCTAACATTTAATAAGTTTTTTGGTGTGAAAACAATTTTTTTTTTAAATAAAAATTTAATTTTTTCAACAACACATTAATAAGTATTAGTAATGTGCCATATCATATTGGATCAGTAGTATAGAGTGAGTTAGTATGGAGGTACCGATAGCAAACGATGATGTACGGTCGATTTCGAAGGCGTCAAAAAATCGTAGCTTAAGTGGATTTCTCGCCAGGCTTACAACAAAGCTCTCAAACTGAAATTAAAATAGATCACCTTAACAAAAGCTGTGATTATTTTAAAGGCTAGTCGATCACTTACAACCGCTTCCAATCTGTGATCTAAACCAGGTTGAAAGCGAGTTCGCTGATCCAGCAATTTCACCATCTTATCGTGGTCGTCCAACAAGTAAAATACGTTAAAACAGTTGAGGCCACAATCGAGGTAGACAAAAAATAAACAAGAAACGCTGCAAACAGTGACATAAATTGGCCAATCATCCGTTAAGCCGCCGTATTTGCGTATACTGAACAAAATGTAAATACTTCCAACCAAATTTAAATAGTATGCGATTATCAAGCAAAGAACTTGACCTTGGTATGCTTTTGTCAATTTGTTGATTAGCTTTTGTAAATTAGATTGGTTGCGGGCAATTTTTTCCAGGCGATCGGCGAGGGTACAGCATCTCGTCATAAATACTCCACTTCCGTTGGGTATTAGCGTTAATGTTTCGGATACAACCGCATTTAATTCGTAATTTAGGAGACTGTATCGCCCTCGAATTGTTGCCATTGCAATAAAATACTGCGTTATGATCACATTTACTATTGCTGTCAGGCACAAGATTCCCCAAATGCGTAAAGCTAACCAAATAGTTAGCGTATTTCGCATCATGGTAAGAACGACAAAAAGCTGTAGGATCTCGGCCATTGTGACACAAAAGCATTTGCTTAGAATACTTCTTCGGCAGTTCTGCATTATTCTCGGATTGTATAGAAAAAGAAGGCGGAACGAGTTAAAAAGCCGCATAAATCTCCGACGCTGAGACCAACGGCTCATCAAAGCCAGAGAAACACATATAATCCGAATGAACGCTAAAACCATAAACACGTATTCGTGAAGGGAATTCGCATAAGTCCACATTCTTTTCATCTCTCTTGGTTTAAAATTGTAAACCATTGAACCGAACAAAACGAAGTGCGTACAAGCTGCACACATTGTATTTCTCGTGTTGGCCAAAGTTTTGCCCGTCTTAAAATCAATTTCGAAGTTTAGAACTCCGGTTAAGCGTCCGTAAAAATATGAAATTTTCAGGCACCATTTCACAACGTCAATCATCGCAGTATAATGATATACTGAATAGAGTTCAGGACAATTCTTACATCAATTTGTTTCTGATGATTAGAAATTCCATATCACATGAATTGGATATAAATAAGTGGCTTACAATATCATTCTATCTCTCGGCTAATGTATTAGCTAACGAAATCGGTATTTTTGTGTAATTAGTGTAATTAGGCTGACTGAAATGGCAAATCGAAGGTTTGCATTCGAACTTTAGATTGTCTAATGTTTACTAGATATTTTATTTCGTTTAGTGAAACCTGTTTAAGATGGTGACTAATTTATATAATCCTTTCCAAGATCGAAAGTTAAAGTCGACTTAATCTACAGTACCGTGCATATAAGTCTTTTAACCCTTCGTTATTTATATAGTCCGAAAATTTGCGAAATGGCCAAGTAATGCTGGAATACAATCGAGTTGAATATGGTAGTGAATGTGGTCCAAATAAAGAGATTGATAACCATGTTTAAATTTTTTTTTTCCCGCTGAGCATTAAGACCCAAAATCATGAGCAGGGAGTCGGAGTTATGGTTGAGGCTTTGGAAACAAAGCAGAGTGATTCGTCACATATTGTATATAGCCGCATATATAGTGACTCGTCGGGTAATTATAGCTTTTCCCTTGCAATAATTCACTTCAAAATTGATTACTCCATCCGATAAACCAACTGTCCACAACAAGTCAACCATTTTTCAAAACTAAAATATAGAGTAAATTCCGAAGAGCACGAACTTGTTCAATTATTATTGGACTACGGACTATTGGACTTAATGGCAGAATATAAATTGATAGGTATTTATCAGTAGGTTTTTAAACTAATTGGGTTTGTGAAATTTATTAGCTAATTGAAATGTAACCATGAATACTCCTGTCGACCGTAAAGATAATTGTAATAGTAAATGACATTCTACGAAAAGGGTTTTAAAAATCACATTAAATAATATTGAGATATACATTATTTATTTATTGCTTCGAAATAGCCAAAACATTATCTCTTTAATTATGACTTAGCTCCCATTGCATAAGTAGCATGGAATGGATAAGTGCTGAGTTTAACATGGTTATTATTGTACATCGTTTCAACTTAAAAAGGCCAAACACCTGGCATTCAACTGGATTGCAGACCATCTGTAGCTGAAAATTCTCAAACTGTAAAAAATGTGCATTAGTTAAATAAAATATTCAAAACAAATGAAAGTAAACCCACCACAGTTTCCAATCGTACATCCAATTCCTGAACAAATACTGCGCGTTCTGCCAATATCTCATTTATTTCTTTATGTTTATCCTGGATGATAAATCCCAAATTCAAAGTGAACAAACTGTCCGTAAAAAAGAACATTGCGGAAATGCCGATCAAGAAGAGGCCGATGAAAGTGGAAGTGAATTCGATGGTGTAAAACAGCGTACAAAAAGTATAATATGCAGCGCCAACTAAAGAGAGACTATAAAACGTGCACATGCAAAGGCTCTGTATTTGAAAAATCTCTGTTATTTCTTCAAGTGTATTTTGCAGCTCAGTTAGTCTTTTTGCTAAAGAATCCAGTTGGTCGGCCAAATTGCAACATTTTGTGGCAAAAACACCTCCGCAACGATTACGAGTTAGGCACAAAGTTTCAGCTTCACCAATCAATTTTCGCAGCTCCCAATGAAATACTTCATAAAGTCCAAGGACTTGCAGATTGGCAAAATAATATTGAGCTACGCCTATGTAAAACGCAGAATTAAGTGAGTGCCATATAATTACATTAAGAACTTGGAAAAGATTGAAATCTTTGCGGTGAGCTAATATGTCCATAATGGTGTGCATAAAGTTAGTTAGAACTGAGAGCCAAAATTTTATGATTATTCTTCGACGACATAATCGAAATACCGTAGGCCTCTCCCAAACCATTCGTATTAATTGGTTCCAGAGTTTAAGGATCCGGTATTGCTGATACCATCGACTGAACACAGTCAGCAACATCACAGTGTATCTCACCACTGCGATCAGCAGAAAAAAGTAGTCATGCAGAAGTCGAGCATTGCTAAAGGTCAACCGCTTGCTGGTGTTATAAAGACCTGGTAACCACGATATTGCGATTAGACTCAGATTGTGAATCCATGTATAAATCGTAACTCGCCGGGTTTTAAAAGCTCTCCCCGTTTTCCAATCCACTTCGAAATTTAGCACTCCTACGGCAAGACCGCTCCAATACGAAAGGCGAAGAAACATCTGCACCGGGTCGACCATTCTGAACTACTGAACTCATAATCGATTCTAAACTTTGTTACTTTTCATTTACATTGCGTTTTATCTATACCTTTTTTCCTTCGGGAAAAGTCAATATGCTGATGATGCATCACTTTAAAAAAGTGAATTAATTTTACTTTTCTGTCCCCATACTAATTTTGGACGAGATAAGGGGTTAGCTGCATTTTATTTTTGTATTTTACCTAATTTATACATTTTTAGTTATTAGTAATGTGCCATATCATATTGGATCAGTAGTATAGAGTGTGTTAGAATGGAGGAACCGATAGCCAATGATGATGTACGGTCGATTTCGAAGGCATCAAGAATCCGTAGCTTGAGTGGATTTCTTGCCAGGCTTAAAGCGAAGCTCTCGAACTAAAATAAGAACTAGTCACTTTAAAGATAGTGTTAAGATAGTCGATCACTTACAACCGCCTCCAATCTGTAATCCAAGCCTGGTTGAAAGAGAGTGCGCTGATCCAGCAATTTCACCATCTTATCGTGGGCGCCCAACAAGTAAAATACGTTAAAGGTATTGAGGCCACAATCGAGGTAGACAAAAAATAAACAAGAAACGCTGCAAACAGTGACATAAATTGGCCAATCATCCGTTAAGCCGCCGTATTTGCGTATACTGAACAAAATGTAAATGCTTCCAACCAAATTTAAGTAGTATGCGATTACCAGGCAAAGAACTTCACCTTGGTATGCTTTTGTCAACTTGTTGATTAGCTTTTGTAAATTAGATTGGTTGCGGGCTATTTTTTCCAGGCGATCGGCGAGGGTACAGCATCTCGTCATAAATACTCCACTTGCGTTGGGTATCAGCGTTAACGTTTCGGATACAACCGCATATAGTTCTTTGCTCAAGAGGCTGTAGCGCCCTCGAATTGTTGCCATTGCAATAAAATACTGCGTTATGATCACATTTACTATTGCTGCTAGGCTCAAGATTCCCGAAATGCGTAAAGCCTGCCAAATAGTTAACTCAGATGGGATCATGGAAAGAGCGACGACAATCTGTAGCATCTCGGCTATTGTGACACAAACGGATTTGCTAACAATACTTCTTCGGCAGTACTGCATTATTCTCGGATTGTATTGAAAAAGAAGGTGGAACGAGTTAAAAAGCCTCATAAATCTCCGACGTTGAGACCAACGGCTAATCAAAGCAAGAAAAACACAAATAATTCGAATGAACGCTAAAACCATAAACACGTATTCGTGAAGGGAATTCGCATAAGTCCACATTCTTTTCATCATTGTTGAGTTAAAGTGGTAGACTATTGAACCGAACAAAACAAAGTGCGTGCAGGCTGCACATATTGTATTTCTCGTGTTGGCCACAGTTTTGCCCTTTTTAAAATCAATTTCGAAGTTTAGAACTCCGGTTAAGCGTCCGTAAAAATATGAGATTTTCAGGCACCATTTCACAACGTCAATCATCGCAGTATAATGAATAACTGAATAGAGTTCAGCACAATTCGTATATATTGATGTCTCTGATGTTTAGATATACCATATCAGATTAATGGGATATGAATAAGTGGCTTACTATACCAATCTATCCTGATTTAGCTAATGTATTAACTGACGAACTAGGTATTTCTGTATTATTGAATGGACTGTACTACGCATTTGAAAAATGAACTTGACTAGTATTTACATAACATTGTGCTTTGTTTTGCGAAAGCCCGTTAAAGATGGTCCTTAATTTTTGCCTACAGATGGGCTTAACGTTTCTGGAGAAGCGCTTCAAAAAAAGTATAAAAACGAACAAAAATCGAAGTCTACAAAAATCGAAGTCTACAAAAATCGAAGTCTACAGTGTAATCACATAGGTCTTTTATTTTCTCATTATATTAATTTATTTGTACGAGTATATTTGTTTATTTTTGATTTTGCAATGAAACTGTGTTCTTATCTTAACTATCATCCAATCTTATCACCTACCCAGTGGACAAGGATCTGGGCAGAGTGTTAAACATCTTGCACTGCATTCTTGTTTGCAGTGAGATTCCGCAGCTCATGGCTTGACAAACATGGCCCTGTTTCGAGAGGACAAAGATGGTGGAGATGATGCTGATGTGGCAGAGCGAACTTCCATGCACGCAGAATGTTTGCTCAACACTTATTTTTAGTGAAAGGCTCGAAGAAGGACGCGAAGGATGGAGGTCTAGGTATAAGACTGAATGCCGTACATAGCTGCAGTGAGAGAAATTTCAATAATTAATATTTATTAAAATACTAGCTGCCCGTCCCAGCTTCGCCCGGTTTTTTTTAAATAGTTACCTTTCACACAAATATTATAAAGAGGTAAATTTGTTTGCTTGTTTGTTTGTTTTTCTAACAATTTTATTATTGTAACAACTCCCAAATTTATTATTGTAACCATATATCCGATTTGAATGAATTAAAAAAAATATTGAAAGCTAGATACATACCCTTGATAATAAAACTATAAATTTGGATGTTTATATAGTTTATCAGTTTATAACTCCACGTCACTTGGCGCAGACGTGTCAAAATTGCCCTGAAGACGGTTGCCGATGAGCAACCGAAATATATTGGTCAAAAAACATAAATTGTGTTTTAAATATCACCCAGACCTTGAGCCGGCAAAACTCCAAATAATTATTAAAACATTAAAAACCCTAAAAATAAAAAATTTTTTTTTAACATATTGTGAATCTAAACCATCCTCAAACCGCCTGGAATACACACAAAAATTTTATAAAAAAAGGTCCAGCCGTTTAGGAGGAGTACAATGACTTGAGTTATAAGTGATGTAACTAACACGACTTCCATTTATATATTAGGTTGTTTGGTAATGACGTACCGGTTTTTACATTCAAATTTCGCGATTTGCTTGTGAAGTCAAATATAATCTTATCTGGCAATGCTGAAAGATATTGTGACTGTCAATTTATTATAGACAAATAATTTGCAATAAAATAAAATTGCGACTATAATTAAAGATCTAAGCTATCCTATCTCTTAAGTTGGACCAGACTGCTCATGGTATGCCAATTAAATTTAACATCGGTTAAGTAGTTTAGGAGTCCATCGCGGACAAACATCGTGACAGGAGATTTATATATATAAGATTTCATGTGTGTAAAAACTGTTTAAATTTTTCAATTATACGAAAGAATTTGGTTTTTACGTACATAACTTCTTTAAATCTTTTCTGATTATTTATCTAAAACTTATTTTAAAAATGTTTTATCTTTTTGTTGCCAGCTATCAAAAGTTACATTAGGTGTAAGGCATTTTTTTAAGTGCAACTGCAGTTGAAACTGAAACTTCGAGGCTCTCAAGTGCATATTAAACAGCGGAAGGCCCTCAGGTCGTCATCTGTGGCTGATGCCGTCGAATGTCTCGAGAGTTATGTCAGCGTTACTAGGTTACTCCCTATACATCTTATTTAAAATGCAAGCTTCGCTTTCAAAATCCACTTTAAAATTCTCCACATACCAAGCTGTTTTTCTGTTTAATTTAAATTTGTTATGGTTCAGAAGCGAATGAATTTTTATGGTACTGCATTTGTCATTCTGTCAAATGCCATGCACCAAAAAAAAAAAGAAAAAAATGAAAAAAAAAAACAGCGGAATTTTCACGACCAACGAGTGTCAAAAATGTTGTGAATTTAGGCGACAAATCAAATTGCAAAAAAAGCACACGCTTTTAACTCAAAAATGCAAACCACCATGAAAAACGGAAGCGGATGCGTTCAAAATAGTTTCTGATTGTATGAAAATCCAATGCCGCACTCAACCAGAAACTGTTGCATACCTTGAGGCTTTTAGTGTCATAGGAAAATGCGCTTTCCATTCGGTTCGGTTCTAATACGAACGGATACTAGAGTTGATTAAGTATTGTACTGTGTTGTATAGGAATCAAATGCTAAATAATCTGGAAAATTCAGTCCAATTCGATGGGCTTAACGTTTCTGGAGAAGCGCTTCAAAAAAAGTATTAAAATGAACAAAAATCTACAAGTTTTCAAGAATTTAAGATCACTTACTGTTTACAAATTTTAAATGTTTATATGAAACTGTCTGTTTTTTACAAATAAAATAAATTAAGCTTTACACTACTTTAAATCACTAACTAACATTTCTTTCTTAAACCCTTTAATTCGATTTAAAATTTCTTTTTATTTGGAGAGAACCCACTCCATGTTTTCCTTTATTATTCTTAGTTTTCTAAAGTCATCTCGAAAGTTTTACTGCAAGCAACTCAAGTGCAGACGACGTTAATTAATATAAATGACGACAGTTTTTAATGTTTGTCTTGGCCCAGCGGTGCTAATCACTTGGACTCAAACCCATTGCTCTCCAGAAAATGTCGCTTTTGTTGGATGTCATTAAAAAAAAATGAAGCAAAAGTGCCTCTTACATTACAAGCCATAATTTTCGCATATTAGTCGTGGCTGACTGAGGGCCGAGGACTTTGGCCAAGTGGAACCGGTGCGGGAATCATATGCACTTAACATGCAATTGCGTGCGGAGGACAAATGCGAGGGCCAAAGAAACGCTGGCAAATTCGCTGGGCTGAAAATGAAAACATTATTCATAAGCAGTCGACATCGGAATCGGCATCGGCGGTGGCGGCGGGTCCAAGGATCCCAGGATCCCCCACCGCAAATGGCATGCCACCCAATTTTGCGGGCTGGAGGTCCTTCGTCTGGTAGTTGCTTTTACTATAACACAAACACACACACACATACACTATCCGAGCACTAACGAGTCCAATGCTTGGGTAACTGTAAACTTAACGTGCCCACGTTTCCAGTTTGCCTACACAGAGGAAAATAATGTAGAAGTACTTAACACATTTCATAAGTCTATATCCACCAAAATTAAAGCAGTATTTATGCCTGTTTTAGGAAACCCAGACCCATTAATTTATCAAAAATTAAAGACAGATTAGTATGCTACAAATTTGTAGTTATAATAAAATATGAATATTTTATATTCTTACTTTTATTTGAATACAAGCAGTTTTCTTCCTCCGAAAATTGTCTTCTGATATTTTCTATAACAAATTTGATGTATCTTAATTTAATCAGTTTTTAGGTACTTAAGTGATTGAATCTAAATAATATTTAGGCTAACATTTTTTCTATGTGCACATTTGCAGTGGAATGAGCTACTAGCGGCGGCCTCGACATCTTAAACGTAATCAGAGGCGATATCAAAATCCCCCGTGTGAGTTTCTAATGAACTGGCGTGCCCGGAGTTCTTTGCCTTTGGTCCAATTTATTGAGCCATAAAGGTGTCAAAATGCTCTCGTTTCCCCCCGCGCACCTTTCCACTGGCATATTCGTTCATTGTGAATAATTAGGAAGACGTTTGCGTGTGGCCATCCCTCAACCTCCGCCGCCACCTTTGGCATCACCATAAAAAATCTCATTAGGCCAAATGTGTATCATAATGACTTTCCATTTACCTTTGCCTCCTTCACACTCCTTTTTTGCTTCCCGATTTCCCTCCGGTTTTTTGTGCCTTGTTTGAATTGGGTTTGCTAATTCATTAGAGCAGGTAAATGAATGGACAAGGAGTTGGTATGGGGAGCTGGATAGGTTTATTTGGTTAATCATTGACTGGAGATTAGAGTTCCCTCTCAGGGGGTAAT